GAAGTACTACCAAGTTTGTTCAAATGAATGACCTTGGCCCACTTTCAAGGTCACAGGGGTCAAATATGTTAAAATATACAAAGGACTTCATCTCAATAAGCAAAAGTCTATGAGTGCCGATATTGGGTCTGTAGCATGCTGGGAGGAAAGGCTACCAAGTTTATTCAAATGAATAACCTCAACCCACTTTCAAGGTCACAGGGGTCAAATATGTTAAAATCTTTAAACAACTTCTTCTCATTAACCAAAAGGCTCAGAGTGTAGATATTGGGCCTGTGACATGCTGGGATGAAGGACTACCATGTTTGTTCAAATGAATGACCTTGACCCACTTTAAAGGTCACAGGGGTCAAATATGTTAAAATCTTTAAACAACTTCTTCTCAATAAGCAAAAGTCTATGAGTGCCGATATTGGGTCTGTAGCATGCTGGGAGGAAAGGCTACCAAGTTTATTTAAATGAATGACCTTGAACAACTTTCAAGGTCGCAGGGGTCAAATATGTCAAAATCTTTAAATAACTTCTTCTCAAATACTAGAAGGCCTAGGGGGCTAATACTTGGCCCATAGCATGCTGGCATGGAGCCCTACAAAATTTGTTCAAATGAATGACCTTGGCCCACTTTCAAGGTCACAGGGGTCAAATATGTTAAAATATACAAAGGACTTCATCTCAATAAGCAAAAGTCTATGAGTGCCGATATTGGGTCTGTAGCATGCTGGGATGAAAGGCTACCAAGTTTATTTAAATGAATGACCTTGAACAACTTTCAAGGTCGCAGGGGTCAAATATGTCAAAATCTTTAAATAACTTCTTCTCAAATACTAGAAGGCCTAGGGGGCTAATACTTGGCCCATAGCATGCTGGCATGGAGCCCTACAAAGTTTGTTCAAATGAATGACCTTGGCCCACTTTCAAGGTCACAGGGGTCAAATATGTTAAAATATACAAAGGACTTCATCTCAATAAGCAAAAGTCTATGAGTGCCGATATTGGGTCTGTAGCATGCTGGGAGGAAAGGCTACCAAGTTTATTCAAATGAATGACCTCAACCCACTTTCAAGGTCTCAGGGGTCAAATATGTTAGAATATACAAACGACTTCTTCTCAACAAGCAAAAGTCCATGAGTGCTGATATTGGGCCTGTAAGATGCTTGGAGGAGAGGCTACCAAGTTTGTTCAAATGAATGACCTCAACCCACTTTCTAGGTTTGGCTTGCTTTTTGTCAGATGACCGTTAAGGCCCATGGGCCTCTTGTATTACATTACGCACTCTCTTGAATTTGTCATTTTTTCGATGCAGTATGTAATAATGATTCTTACATAAAGCGTTGTGATTGCTATGCTTATTGTTATAAAAATAAAACTATTAAGTTAAGTGCATCAGTTGCAACGCTTAATGTAATAAAAACAGAAGTCTATTACATTAAGCGTAGTAGTCGCAACGCTTAATTCAATTATTATTATTTTAAGTTTTGCCATTACACTAAAAGTTACAACAATGAAGTCCTTTTCCTAACACGCATCAGCGGTCAGCTAAATCAAACCCCAAACTCATTTTGTACTCTGTTTTTTTTTTCAGGACACCCTCGGGTGACTGGCCAGCAATGTTAGGGCGATACAGAAAATATGAGAAATCTATATGTTGAATTTAATTAATAGTCACGGACATATCTTGTACTGTGAAAATAGGAATATGATTTTTTTTTATGTAAATTACAGCTGTGGCCTATTTTGGTTTCAGGACACGTCGTGGTGGGCAAGCATACAATTATACATTGTACTGTTATGTTATATATATATATAAGGCTTTGTGCACAACTGTCTATAGCGCAGCAAGGGATTAGACTAGCAAGGAGTTTGTGACCGGAATGTGTATAGTCTAATAAATAAAAAACCCTTAGTGAATCACTTGAAGCTTAAGTATGTTTTATGAAATATGGATTAACCGACCGGAGATGTTGGGAACGTCCTTGCCGTGGATGTGAGAGCGCTTTTTCCCTGCAAGTACATGCAAACTCTGCAAGGTCAGAGGAGAAAGCGGCTTTATGTCCAGTACCTAAGCGCGCACTTGTCATACAATTTGTGAAAATGTCCGGCCAAGGATTTACCTCGGGGAACACGTGGTTAATAATGTACGACCAAAGATTTATCTGGCGGCACACGTTGTTAATAATATCCGAAATAATCTTTTTAATTGGCGAAAGACGTGGTTAATAATGTACGATTAAAGATTTACCTGGCGGAACACGTGCTTAATAATGTCCGACCAAAAATTTTAATTGGCGGAATACGTGGTTAATAATGTCCGACCAAGTCTTTACCTGGCGGAACACATGGTTAATAATGTACGACCAAACATTTACCTGGCGGAATACGTGGTTAATAATGTACGACCAAAGATTTACCTGGCGGAACTCGTAGTTAATAATGTACGACCAAATATTTATCTGGCGGAATAACTTGTTAATAATATCCGAAATAAATTTTTAATTGGAGAATGACGTGGTCAATAATGTGCGATTAAAGATTTACCTGGCGGAACACGTGCTTAATAATGTCCGACCAAAATTTTTAATTGGCGGAATACGTGGTTAATAATGTCCGACCAAAATTTTTAATTGGCGGAATACGTGGTTAATAATGTCCGACCAAGTCTTTACCTGGCGGAACACATGGTTAATAATGTACGACCAAACATTTACCTGGCGGAATACGTGGTTAATAATGTACGACCAAAGATTTACCTGGCGGAACTCGTGCTTAATAATGTACGACCAAAGATTTATCTGGCGGAATACCTTGTTAATAATATCCGAAGTAAGTTTTTAATTGGCGAAAGACGTGGTTAATAATGTACGACCAAAACATCTACCTGTCGGCACACGTGGTTAATAATGTACGTCCAAAATTTTTAATTGGTGGAAGACAATGGTTAATAATGTACGATCACAGATTTACCTGGCGGAACACGTGGTTGATAACATTCGGCGAAGAATTTACACAGAAGATCACGTGGCTAGTAATGTCCGACCAAGGATTTACCTGGCGGAATACATGGTCAATAATGTCCGACCAAGTCTTTACCTGGCGGAATACGTGGTTTATAATGTCCGACCGAGTCTTTACCTGGCGGAATACGTGGTTTATAATGTCCGACCAAGTCTTTACCTGGCGGAATACGTGGTTTATAATGTCCGACCAAGTCTTTACCTGGCGGAATACGTGGTTTATAATGTCCGACCAAGTCTTTACCTGGCGGAATACGTGGTCAATAATGTCCGACCAAGTCTTTACCTGGCGGAATACGTGGTTTATAATGTCCGACCAAGTCTTTACCTGGCGGAATACGTGGTTTATAATGTCCGACCGAGTCTTTACCTGGCGGAATACGTGGTTTATAATGTCCGACCGAGTCTTTACCTGGCGGAATACGTGGTTTATAATGTCCGACCGAGTCTTTACTGTGCAGATCAAGTGGTTAATTATATTCGACTAAGATGTTACGAGGAAAAGCTAGACGTTAGTAATGTCCGAACAAGGATTTATTGGGCCTTACCTCTCCTGTATATAAGCAGTCTTCCGTCTTCATCATACCTTACATTTCCTAAATAAAGGCTGTCTTTCTCCTTCAGCATACCTTACCTTTCCTATATATATGCAGCCTTTCACCTTCAGCATACCTTACCTTTCCTATATATATGCAGCCTTTCACCTTCAGCATACCTTACATTTCCTATATATACGCAGCCTTTCACCTTCAGCATACCTTACCTTTCCTATATATATATGCAGCCTTTCACCTTCAGCATACCTTACCTTTCCTATATATAGGCAGTCGTCCATCTTTTGCATTTTCCCTCCACCTCTCTGTTTCCCCTAGCTTTGATTCATGATTTTCTTTCAATCTTTCGAAGGACACATTTTGTTCAACTCCATGTAGAAATTCATCCGTTCGCTCGAGGTTTAAAAATTCTGTAACCTTAATGATATTCTGAAATAAATTCTGAAAAAAAGAGAGAAATGAACATCTTCAGTCATCTCAGATTTAAGAAAGGTATTCTTAAACACTTGAATGTGTAAGTTTTGATCAAAAGAAAGTAAACTAAGATAGAATAACTTGTTAAAAGCGCGATGTGCTATGATTTACGTTTAAGTTTGTAATAATCTAACCTAGGTTTAAATGTTGAACCTAAGTTGAATGTTTTTGATGTCTATGTTTCATCATTAATTATAGCTGTGAAGTCTGAGGTTTTATCCCACCTGATCAGATAGAAAAAGTACACTTTAGGAAAAAGTCTTGACTGTGAAAAAGAGCATACATTCTTTTATGCTGTACTCTAAACTGGGTCGTTTGTCTCTGCATTTTGCGCGTAAATATCGAATGATTAAATATTGGTTGAAATTAATTAAGACTAACAATCGTTTATTGAAGTCAGTATATGAAGAGGTAACTGACGTATTGCTGTCAACTGGTTTGTGGATGTTGGGTTAAATCATAAAGCTGATTACGAAAAAGTGTTTTTATGTTTCAAACAACCTTTTGTCGATAACTTTATTCACTTACAGGATGAGTATGTTGAAAACTCATCAAAATCTAATCTGTATAAATTCTTGTTAGACTCGTTTACTTTACAACACTGTATAGCAAAATCTTTTCCAGACGTTTTTCCACGACTTATTTCTAAATTTCGATTATCTTTTCATCAACTGCGTTCATAAGAAGATAGGTATCGAAATATTTCAAGGAAACATAAGGTTTGTATTTAATGTCATCAGATTTTAGTAGAAGACGAGTTCCGTTTTATGTTGATTAGTTTACGTAAAAAGTTTCTTAAAATATATTATTGGAGCCCACCGTCGTATCATAAACATGTACAATTACTAACAGCACGTGATAAAAAAGAATTTTGTTTTCTAGGCAAATATTTTCAATTAAGTTTATTCTTACGTTCAGCATTTCAAGCCTAATGTATGTTGTTTAATAATCATGTATCTTCTCACAATTACCGCCTGTAAAATGATATAATGATTGGTCTCTCCATCATATTCTTATATGTATTCAGCTGCCCGTCTGTCTGTCTTTTCTTTTTTTCTTTACTTGTTCATTGAAGGTTAATTTTTATGCAATATCTGAATATTTTCTAATGTTGGAATAGCCATGTATTGTACATTTATTAAACTAAAACTACAATTTACCTTCAAAAAGACACTCTCTCTTGGGAAATGAAACTTACCACAAAACATTATATGCGTGTTTAAGACAAAACATTTTTATGATTGAAAATAGTCCAACAAAGTAACAATTCTTCAATGGTAATTGAAGTGTTAAAGGTAAAAAACACAACTAGTATTCCATAAGAAACATTACTGCTGATTTTCTCACGATTAAAATACATATGTAGTCCTTTGTATGTTAAAGAAAAGTATCATAACTCGTCACTGATATGAAAAATAATTTTCCCTGAAATAGGACAACACACGGAAACCTGACGATAGATTTATACAACTTCAAAATAGAAGTGGGGAATAGAAGAAGAGAGAAAAAAGGACACCATGTAGAAAACATGTAGAAAACACAATTTCTGTCCTTGAGGACGAAAAACATTTCTTTTTCATTGCTTATGCGCTATATATTTAACATTGCAATGCAAAATTGAACGAATAAAAGATTTCATTTAGCCCGCCAAAATTGAACACAAAAGTATACTCAAGAACATGCAAGGCAATCCATCCTTTCCAAGAGTTTCACTGTTGTTTTCAGAGATCAAAATGCATTGAGATTTTGTGGGTTCTTCACAGTGGGTTGACCTACATATTGTTTGGTGAGCGTACCAACAGTAAATAACAATCCTTATATTAGCAAGTGGTACCCACAGATTCTTATAACACAATTTAACCAATTACACGACACAGATCCTTTGAAGCAGTAGGAGGCGTGACTTTGGTGTGAGTGACAACGCCCACAGCGTTCCAGAAACAAATATGTAAATTTATGTTTCCGAGAACAGTTTCTAAGGAAATATACCAGCTTACATTACATCTACATATCTTGCATGCCTCTTCACATCTTAAACAACATGCCAAAGAACAAACGGAGATACAAGACCGCCTTCTCTTGTGTAATATCAGATTGTATTCAATCAATCTGGTCACTCTGGTCAAATCTGATTTTTATGGTCTGAAAAAAAATGATGACAACGGATAAGAAAATACGGAAAAGTATGCAGTTCACAGAAGGAAATCTTCAACTTGTTAATTTTAGGAACTGACTTTAAGCTGGGAAAATTTAATTTTTGTATGTGAAATCAGTATACGAGACTTACCCGTTTGAGGTCTTCGTATCGAAGATTTAGAATCTGTAATTGTTTGTTACTACGTTTAGCTTCTTCCCACTCCTTCATGTATGTAAACATTGAGGAACCGACAGCAACAACTGGAAAGAAAGCATTCGATACAATACCATTAATCTGTCTAACCAACATTACTCATGATCAGTTGTACAAAACACAATTATACATAGTACCTTAATCTCAAAATTAGTATCAAACCATATAAGGTAAATATGTCGTCCTTCAATTACTCTTCAATCAATCAATAAGAAGACTTGAACGTCCTTTGATAATCACAATAAATAATTCAATTAAACTGTTTCTAATTTTGAATGATTTTAAAAGACAGTTGAATAATTTGGCATTCTCTGAACCATTGAAAACATTTTTCAAAGACTCTGGACATGACACAATATACATAACATAAACATAGCAAATAAATAGATAAATAAATAAACGACTGAGATAAAGAGATGAATTTTCACATTGATCTGTGGTTGATATTAAAAGAAATACTGTAGTTCAACTTCCCTTTTCCAGTAAAATTAGTTATAATTGGCAGTCTCCGCGGTGCCACAGATTCACGGTGATCGTGAAATTTAAATTGTTTCCACAATTGTTGGTATTAAACTGGACATATTTGGATAAACAATAGTATCGGCATTATATCATAATCGAGTTTTCTATGTTGGGTTGCCTGTATCTGATTTAAATATTCTCTAAATCATTTATGGGCTTTTCCCGGAAATATTAAAAAAACAAAAACAAAAACAAAAACAAAACAAAACAAAAAAAAAATAAATAAATAAACACAAAAATAGTCTGACTGAAATCGCATCCCTAAAAAAGTCAATAATTTTAGAATACATTACATTCATCTGACAAGAAGTATTTCAGGAAACCATCCAAAGAGCCTTCGTATGCCATATTTTCCATTTTGTTGAAAAATTCGTAATAAGATAGTGCCGTGTCCTTAGGATTCCTCATAACATGAATGATTTTGATATCGCCCCGTTTGGCAGACATGGGTATAAATGGATAACCTAGATGAGTGAGGTACGTGCGTGGTGATGGTAAGTTATCGATGTCGCTGTTTGGATGAAATTCCATCACAACCGGTGTTCCACTGTATTCAAAGTTGTGTGATCGAATCATCTGGACCATGTTAAAAACCCAGTGGGTCCCTGTTGTTAAAAACGATAAACTAATGACTTCAACTAATGGTATTGTGAGTTATCTTATATATACAAAATAATGTCCTTTCATGATATCAGTGAAAGATATGTTTACTTCATTTCAACGACGATAAGTCAAACTACGCACTACGACCTAATCTACTCCCATCTAAACAAAAGTTTGTCCAGATTGTAACATTCGCAAATCCATTCAATGAATGTAGATTCTAGATGAAAAGATATTTTGTCATACAAGATGCAAAAAGTTTTATTTTCTGTCTTATACAATAACACATTTAACGTTTTATCTGAAGATCTATTATCTATTATCTATCTACATATTTTCTTTTTTAAATATAGCACAACGAACAAAATCACAGATGGCATATTGAAATAAAAGAAACATAATATATAAGGCATGGCATCACCATGAAATGTAATTGAATAATGACATCTAATCATTACAATCTTAGATAAACGATTATAACCGTATATAGCAGTTAGTGTTAATTAATATAGATTGATAGGAACGAAACAGGTGTTGCCATGTACGTCATCACAATCGCGTGATCTGTTTAATACCACGTGTCTTTCACCAGCAGCATTGAGTACCCTTTTAACACAGCCCGATATGTCTATTTTGTGTTCGATACAAGAAGCCTTTGTTTGCTGATTTTTGATGATAATGTACATTTAACTGGTCAAATCTTGTCTGTGGTGAGCCTAATAACCGATTGACGACTATCTCGTGTAAATATTTTTTCGAATATCACTGAATATGGAGTAAAACGTATAAACACCAAATTACATTTCCAAGTTAAATAATGTATCACCCAGACGCCATTCTCCTCTACCTAGAGTGGTATTAACCTTTTGAAAGTTAATTATTGTATGGTTCTACTAGCTGATTTCACCTGGTTTGAATCTCTATTCAGAATGCAAGAGCTGGATATTGAGTTCGATCTGTTCAAAACAAAACAGTTTTACCGTAAATATTGTGCTTTCATTTGAAGTGAATTGGCTCATTAAAAACTAAAATTTTAAAAAGAATGCTTGACCTGATTTTGGGAATGTACACAGGAGAACATCATCAGGCTGGCCCTTGTAATTAGTCACTTCAGCCAGGTGATCACCAACATTACCGAGGAAATCAGGGTGAAAGGTCCGTCCTTGGTAACGCTTGTAACGTAGTTTGTTGCCATATTCGTCAACGATTTTCACTAACTCCATTTCTGTAATTCTGCAAACTTTTAAGGTTTCATATTTCAAAGTATTTTAAAATTGATTAAATGCAACACATGTAATCCATTCTGAAATAAAAGAAACATTCAAATTTTTAATAACTTTGTACTGGCAATCACTGGCATAATGGATTCAGATCGCCTTTGTGCTAACAATAAGATATTTGTTGGTTGCTTTAAAACGAAAACTTACTTTTAGCATGGTGACTTTAATACCAACTGTATAACATATTACAGAGAGAGAGAGAGAGAGAGAGAGAGAGAGAGAGAGAGAGAGAGAGAGAGAGAGAGAGAGAGAGAGAGAGAGAGGGGGGGAGAGAGAGTATTCCAATTCGGTATAGTATTACTCTCTGATATATAGCCCGCGTTAGTTGATATGTTGGTGTATGGTGGCATGTAACTTCCATCTACTTATCTTGTTACAATGATATTCTACTGCTACAGATTTTCGCCTTAACATGACCTGTCGTGATAATATCGTGTTAAGACGTCGTATTAAGTCGACTAGTCGTGATAATATCGTGTTAAGACGTCGTATTAAGTCGACTAGTCGTGATAATATCGTGTTAAGACGTCGTATTAAGTCGACTAGTCGTGATAATATCGTGTTAAGACGTCGTATTAAGTCGACTAGTCGTGATAATATCGTGTTAAGACGTCGTATTAAGTCGACTAGTCGTGATAATATCGTGTTAAGACGTCGCATTAAGTCGACTAGTCGTGATAATATCGTGTTAAGACGTCGCATTAAGTCGACTAGTGATAATATCGTGTTAAGACGTCGCATTAAGGCAACTAGTCGTGATAATATCGTGTTAAGACGTCGCATTAAGTCGACTAGTCGTGATAATATCGTGTTAAGACGTCGCATTAAGTCGACTAGTCGTGATAATATCGTGTTAAGACGTCGTATTAAGTCGACTAGTCGTGATAAGTATCGCGATAGATTTATCTTTTTTGTCGCGATATTTGAAAGTGGCTATAGCCTTTCAAAGTAATTCATTGAGGTTTTCCGAATAACATGCCAATTTCTTTTTTAAATTCGGGATACCTCAAAAATTGGTCACATTACCTTGAAGGGGTATATCCATAGGGATCTCACCCTACACTGGCTACAGTCACTAACTGTCGTTTCTTCTCTTCATCAATGAAAATCGAAAATACCGAATAACGCGTCAATCTGCACGTGTTTTAAGAGACAGTAAAGTATTAACCCATGTCAGTTCCGAGCATTATCGCTGCAAAAGTTATATCATGATACGTAATACGACCCAATGATCACATTATCACGAATAGTCAACTTAGTAAGACGTTATAACACGATGTTATCGTCAAAAGTCGTGTCAATACGACGATTTGTCGTGATAAATTATTACGGTGATACTACAAGTAGGTGACAGTTACATGCTACCATATTAGTAACCTTAAAATAGCATGCTTTATGACAGTGATATACTCTACCTAAAGTCGTAAATAGTCTACCATATTGAACAGTTTGTGATGAGTCAGAGATGCTAGAGTGATTTAAATATAAGGTATCAGGTTTACAAAGTAATTTACCTGTGAACTGTCGTGTCCACCCTCGGATTACAAACGTGAATATGGAACCGACCAACAACACATGGCTGGTAGCGTAACAGATATTCACATCCAAAGGCTACTCATACAGTAATTTGATCATAGCCTGGCCCAGCATGAATTTTAAGGCAGATCGCGTGACTTCGCTATCAAACCAGATAATTCAGATGCATCATACCTGCATATTTACCTTGTTTGGTTACTAAAGATAAAATATGTTAAACATGTCAACATTTACAGATACGACAGCTCTCAAGAACCATAAGCAAAACGAATGTACGAACGACTTACTGATACTTAACCATACTTTTGTATTTCGCGCGAACTTCCCTCTGCATGCCATATACTAGACTGGCCCCTCTCTCTAGAAAAAAGGGATTATAAATAAATTTGTGTTTTGAAATTTTAAAAGTTTCAAAGTAGGGGGAGAAAGCTAATGTGAGGACTTGTAGTTCGTCAAAGCATTGGCCTACTTTTATCGTCTCGGAAAACATTGCTTATATAGAAGATATATCTTGAAATCCATTTTACGGAGAAACCTGATGTTAACAGAGAACAATGACTGCTTATTAAAACTGAATACCATAAACAAAGAAACTAATTCAATTATTACTAGCTGAGCGTCATTATTAATCTGCGCCAGTGAACGGTAGAAACTACAAACGCACTTGAATAATTGATACGCGGTTACGCTTGGCCTAAACCCGTATATAACATGCATATACCTAATAATATCACCTACAACCCGGAATCGGACAACATATTCGGAAACATACTACACAGTAGTGGTTTTGTTGTCTTATAAAAGTTCCTATTTATTCATTTGGTGATTAGACAATATCTCACTGCTGTCACAAGATTGGTCCAGCCTGTTATAACATTTCTGAGGTTCCACCTGATTAGCACACACACTAGTTAACAATGGTCTTTAAAAAAGATTGGTAAGTATACATATGTTAGACAGGCTTAACGACCTCACGTACAAGTGTTAGTAAAAATGATCGTCCTGCTTACGTCATGCAGTGTCAACTTCGTCACAAAGGAATATATTATCGTATCAACATCAGTTATACATGCACGATCATTTCCAACAGATAGAACCTAGCTACACGGAAAATAACAATCTGGATATGTTTTAGAGATTTTAAAAAGAGGATTTATGTTGACTGCTAAATTTTTAAGATTTTTCAATTGAAATAACTTTTATACGAGTAATTTACATTTCGTATAATATCAATGTTGGTTTTTACTAACAGTTGGTCTCTGGTCCACCCTTTCTACGTTATTAGATAGTAACAGATCTCAAGTGCAGAATGACTTACTTTTCGTTCATACACGGTAAATAATAATATTCATTTCTATTCAGTTTTGATTTGAATCTTTAAACCCCATGGAAGGTAAACAATGTTTTATGGTAGGTAACTAACAACAGGACAGGAGGTTAGAATATGGGATCAGGTGATTTGTGTATGTGTATAGAAATAACTTACTCCACCTTGAAAGGTATATGTTGCACGAATTTTACGCTGTTCGGTTTTGTATGCATTTAAATAATTGCGAGTTTAGTCTTGGTGACAACATGATAACGCAATGTCGGTGTTGAAGATGTAGTGAAATGTCATGCATGAAAGCAAGTGATGATTAATTATGTATCATTCATTGTAATGTTAATTGATTAATATGGTGATGGTGATGATGATTAAAATTGTAATGACTGATTATAACGATGATTATGAAAATTGATTGTGATTATGTGGACGATATCGAAGTGGATAATGGTTATTAATAATTAATTCTGGTGATGGTGTTTGGAAAATGATTAATCATTATTAATGTTTATAATGAGGGTGATCAATTGTAACGGTGATAATAACGATTATGTTTATGATGATTGGTTATGGTGTGAATGATAATTGATAACGACGATAATGGTAAATTTGTAGCAATTTATGAATTGCATGCTACTCTGCTCAGCATACCTAAAAATTCCTTAGTATTCAGAAATATACACTAGAAAAAACAAGTCTTGATTCGTTGGAAGCCGGACCGATGTACACGTGCCGTGAATGTGCTATTGCAACAAAACATTAAATCTCTTTTAAAGATGAAATTAACTGATAACAGATTTTGAAGATACTTGGTGGTTTTTTTCAATTTAATAACCATATTTCAAATGAGATTTAATGAAACTCTTCTCGAATATTTGATTTTTACTCACCGAAGTTCACAAGTAATGAAAACTCAGTTAAGATTCTATGTAAAGGCCTATTTTTTGATGTACTATTTTATGCCTGTATTGAAAATGCTCTTATTCGTTTATGTGACGATACGACTATGTAACCACATCATCAACAGATGGTTCTGCAACCATAAACAACTATGTGTGTTTAGATGAAAGTCCAAAATGTCATTTTTAAAATTAAGAGAATTTCTCAATATATCATATTACTGTAACAACATCATATCCCTTGTTAAACTGGAAAGTGTATCATCCAAGTCCGGTAATATTATATTTAAGACGCGATGGGAGAATAATAATGTGTTGCATATATATTAAGAAAGGGTGTGCACTCAGCCTTTCTTTTACTCTAGGTTTTATTAAATGCGGTTTGAATTGATATTCATTCTAATCGCTAGTTATCGATCAACTTGTTTACACACGGTGACTATTACGGGTTTATACACCGGGAAAGTGGGCCATCTAATGTCATAAATTTAATCTCTACAGACAATTCATATTATTTACTTGAGTATGACTGGTGTCCCTATATCACACTCAATTCAATCTATCTAACTGCAATTTAAAATCCATTACTACACTGATTAAATTGTGCATATTTCAAAATATCATTTCAAAAGTGCCTATAGGTAGATTTTCATTTTTAGAAAGAGGTGTGTCTCAAAACAAAGCTGTATTTTCAAGATCAGTGTAAAACAAATGTCTTCGCTCAATCGTTTTCTTTATATGTACCGGATGCGGATAAAACTGACCAATCACAGTCGGATTTACTCTTTAGAAGATTGAAATGTAGTGACATCCAATTTCAAAGCTAGTACAACATACTGTTTGGCGACCGCGATATTCGTTTGATTTACATTAAAAAAAATCAAACATGAAACTATCAATTTCCCTATGGAATGTTTGAGGGGTGCTGAGAGAGATAATGAGAGTAACCTGATGTTTATCAGCCGAAAGGCTTAAGGCTAATTAAAACCGTATTGAGGATGAAACTTGACAAATTATTTTTCACAGCTATTTCAAGGTTCATTCAAAAAGACCTAAAGCCGATTGAACAGCATGTGTTGTTTTCATCTTTATAGTTCAAGAATAATAAGGGGCCCAGGATAGAACGATGTGTAACAAAACTATAGTCAAAAAATGCATTTGAAATTTCATATTTTAAAGATGTTTTTCACACCAGGCCAACAATTCTCCTGTTATACCATAAGATCGTAACTTAATTAAAATTTCCTTATGCCAAACAAGAAACAGAAAACTTTTGATATATCACAAAACAATAAGAATTTTATATAATATGGTTGTGGATGTGCTTATTCACCCTGTCGAAGACTGCCTTAATTAGGTAGTAGTGATATGGGTCTATAACTCGTTAGAGAATTTTTGTCCCTTTTCTAAACAATGACATCACTGCGCTCTAACATTAGTTTACATATCGGGAATGATTTTAGAGGAATGTGACTTATTCTGTCATGACTTAATCTTAGATAACCTTAAAGAGATGCCAGTTTTCCTTTTCTAACATAGGGGTATCCGTACTGCTATCATCAATGTCCTCGAGTTTGAATAATGAGCGAAACGTCTGGTATAGGGTTGATACTAAACGATATTCTGAAATAAAGATAAAGGTCACCCTGTCAGCCGGTTGTAACAATGCTACTATTTTAGTATTCTGAATATAATAAAGCATGTGGCACAAAGAACGGCAGTAACGATTTTATGTACCTGTAGTACGGATCGATACGCCGTGCTGATAAATGTACCATTTCTCATCACTTGTCCAGGCTACCTGTACAGGTGTGTTAATTACGACAATATTGATTTTTCGTCGTCTTGCTGAAGCTACTATCCTCTAACCGTAGGCTCATACCACCATTAATAAGTGATGCGAACTTCAGAACTATCTTCTACCTCTAGTCTGTGACTGTGTTATTTATCTACCGATGTCAGTTTTTTCTTCTACTATCGGTAAGTACGATTTCCATGCTTTAGAATGTGTATTTTGTCTTTGTTCAAACCTGATCATCATGTATAGATCACATAATGTGTTTTTCCAGGAACAAGAATCGTCGTGGAAAATCCGTGACATCGGCGTTTTGCTTAATATTAGGTATATGAATAGTCATTGTCTATAGACTGAACACTAGGAATAAACAATGACATGAATGTTTGACTGGACATTAGAAATACGCTTTGGCATTGACCTTTAGCTAACATCAGGAATACACAGTAACATTGACCTTAGGTTGAACATTAGGAATAAGAAATATCACT